CACCTGTTGCTCCTACATCTTTCCATAATCTGTCTACATATTTGTACCTCTATCTCACGCTTGCTGTTGGGAGACCTGTAGTACAGCCCCAACATTGTTACTGCACCCTTCCTATTTCTGAGCTCTGCCCATATTGCCTCACTGCTCGAGTCCTCCATAGTGCCCTCCTTCAGCACAGTTGTGATATCCTCTTTGACCAGTAATGCAACTCCTCCACCCCTTTTACCTCCCTCTCCATCCCGCCTGAAGCACCTATATCCTGGGATATTTCGTTGCCAATCTTGCCATTCCCTCAACCAAGTCTCAGTAATAGCAATAACATCATACTCCCAGGTACTAATCCAAGCCCCAAGTTCATCTGCCTTAGCTACTATGCTTCTCGCGTTAAAACAAATGCACCTCAGACCACCTGTCCCTTTGCGTTCATCATCTGCTCTCTGCCTACTGTTTCCCTTAGTCACACTGACTTCATTATCTAGTTTCTTACAGGCTTTAGTTACTACCTCCTTACTGTCCACTAACCTCCTCATTTGGTTCCCATTCCCCTGCCACATTAGTTTAAACCCTCCCCAACAGCATTAGCAAAAGCAGCCCCTAGGACATTGGTTCCAGTCCTGCCCAGGTGTAGACCATCCGATTTGTAATAGTCCCACCTCCCCCAGAACCGGTCCCAATGTCCCAAAAATCTGAACCCCTCCCTCCTGCACCATCTCTCAAGCCACACATTTATCCTGCCTATTCTTTCATTTCTACTCTGACTAGCACGTGGCATTGGTAGCAATCCTGAGATACTACCTCTGAGGTCCTACTTTTTAACTTGGCTCCTAACTCCCTAAATTCTGCTTGTAGGACCTCATCCCATTTTTTAACTATATCATTGATGCCTACATGCACCACGACAGCTGGCTATTCACCCTCCCCCTACAGAATGTCCTGCAGTCTATCTGAGACATCCCTGACCCGTCCACTTGGGAGGCAACATACCATTCGGGAGTCTCGTTTTCGACCACAGAACCGCCTATCTACTCCCCTTAGAATCGAATCCCCTATGACTGTAGCCCTTTCACTCTTTTTCCCGCCCTTCTGTACAGCAGAGCCAGCCATGGTGCCATGAACCTGGCTACTGCTGCCTTCCCCTGGTGAGCCATCTCCCCTAACAGTATCCAAAACGGTATACCTGTTTTGGAGGAAGATGACCGCAGGGGACACCTGCACTGCCTTCCTGCTTTTTTTCTGCCTTTTGGTCACCCATTCCCTTTCACCCTCAGCAATCCTAATCTGCGGTGTGACCAATTTGCTGAACATGCTATCCACGACTTACTAAGCATCGCGGATGCTCCAAAGTGAGTCCATCCGCAGCTCCAGAGCTGTCATGTGGTCTAACAAGAGCTGGAGCTGGACACACTTCTTGCACGTGTAGGAGTCAGGGACATCAGCTGTGTCCCTGAGCTCCCACATTGAGCAAGAGGAGCATAATATGGGTCTGGGATCTCCTGCCATTTTTACTCTTAAGCTTAACTTAGTCCTACTGTAATATCAAATAATAGATGAATGAAATGGAAAAAAATTGTACCAAATCACTCTATTTACCAGCACATGATTTTAAAAAAAAAGAAAAACACTCGCCTTATCAACACACCAGAGTCTTTTTTTTTTGGTCAGATGAGGAGGGCGGGTGAGAGACACTACACGTGTAGTGTCTCGGGTTTAGCTACTGCCCAAATATATCAGTTCACTTACTTTCCGAGAGTGCAATTCGACCGGTCCCACTCAGCTCCGCTGCCGAAATGAAGAATGTACCTTCCCGGCAGCCCCCTGGTCCTCGCTGTCACTGCTCCCACTGCTGCTGCAAAAAAAAATGGAGTACATTTCTTTCATCTCTAGAGACTGATTAGCTCCCGTATTCTCAATATTTTTCCTTCTTTACCTCTTTCCCCCGGAGTCCCTGAGTAAACCTTACCTACAGATTTGAAATCTTTGTACAAATTGGGCACTATCTCACTCTCCAGCCAGTAACTAGGCTGTGCACTCTCCTCTAGCTCCTGAACGTCTTTCAGGATTTCCTTCACTACCTCAACTAATCCCATTGTTTAGGCATATTTTACCACATCAATCTTCAGAATGCCTTTCTTAAACAACCAGCACTGTGACTTTGTGTCCCACTCCATTACAGTGAAAACTGTGAGGCCTTTCAAGTCATTTTTACCCTCTTGGGTTTCTGTTTTCACCTGTGGTAAACTGTTCCCAGTGTGACCTACCTTTTGTTTTTCATTGAAGGATCTCCCTTTCTCCCAATTTCTATCCCTCATAGAACGAAATTGCTGTTGAAATCTAAGTTTTGATTTGTGCAATAATACATATTCATCTGCTATCTCCACATCTTTTCTTACTTCGGTAACTTTCTGTTCCTTGATATGAGTTCTTATGATCTCAGGAAGTGAGTTTTGATGCTCCTCCAGCAGAATGATCTCTTTAAGGTCCTCATGTCTTTTGAATCTTTCATGCTCTCTCCCATCTATTGAAGCTGCTTTGTTAAATTCTTTCGAATTCGACAGAACTGGTTCCTTCATCATGTTTCTGAACCATTGTCTATAGGCTTCTGGTACCAATTCATAGGGACTCAAATAGCCTGTTTAACATCTTTATAATTTCCTGACACCTCATCTGACAGTGATGCAAGCACCTCACCAGCCCTGCCTACCAACTTGGTCTGAAGTAACATGACCCACACAGTCTCTGGCCAGTTCATCTGCCAAGCCAGTTTCTCAAAGGAAATGAAAAATGCTTCTGCATATTTTTCATTGACTTTTGGTAATGTTTGGATGTATTTGTGTATTTGGCTACTGGGCTGTTGGCTATAATGAGTTTGCTCATCCTTGCTTCTCTCTTGTACTTTTCGTTCTGCCATTTGAAGTCTTTTTGCTTCAGGTTCCAACTTCATGTTTTCCAACTCGAATATTCTTTCACCTTCTCTGTCTCTTTTTCTTTCTTCTCTCTCTCCCTCTCACTCTTTTTCTCTCTCTTCTCTCTTCCTTTTTGCTCAGCGAAGAATCTTCTCTCCTTTTCTTTATTGTCTACCATGGATCTTCTTTCCCTTTCTTTCTCTTCTAACTCCAATTGTCTCATTTTCAATTTAATTGTCTCAAATTCTGTTTCACTTTGCTGAAACTCTGATATGCTTAAGTGCTTGACCAATCATTTACAATTTCAGCTTTCTTTTATCCTTAGTTAAACCCAAACCTCGCCTGTTTGCTCAGTGTAAAATTATATCCTTGCTTTGTCATTCTAAACTTTCTTGACAAATTTAGGAATCATCTTCAAACCCCAGAGCCTCTTTAGCAATGTTATAAGCCATTTTCCTCACCTTTGATTTAAACAACCACAAGTGACCAAACGTAAACAGATTTTTCTTACCTAAGTTTTATTCAAAGATCTAGGACACTAATCCCCAAGTCTGTTTAAATCTTTTCAGATCCATTCAGATCCCGCATGTGATCCTGGACTTGAGCCCCCAAATCTGTTAGCAATTGGGAAAGATCGAACACCTCTGATAATCAAATTGATATGCAAGCCCCAATCTGTTAGGATGAAAGTAGAAGTTCTCTTCTAATAATTAAATCCAAAAATCCCAGAGAAACTTGCCTTGCCCCTCATAACCTATTAAAAAGTGATTAAAGGAAAGAATATCCCTGATCTCCATTTTCATAAGAAACAAATACCAATTTGTTTATTTAACCCATCTATGAACAAACTAATTGAAATACTAGCAATCCAAACAATTTCCCCCAAGTACTAACTATTTCCTAACAGAACTAAATTCTATTGGAATGCTGTTCGAATAAGCACAAATCCGATTTATATAAATCCCGTTAATAAGAAAACAATAAATTAAACCTTAATTTCTCTAAACTTGCACAGACTGTGTCTTCTGGAAATCTCTACTGCAAATACCTTTCTTCTGCCAAGTTTACTGTTAGAAGGTTTCTCTGCAATTTTGTCAGTGAGGTCTTTAATGTGAACCGCCGTGGTACTTTTGATGTTTTATTTTTCAGAGACCTTACAGAGTTTGTGAGAGCCAGGCTTAAATGTCTTTTCACTGCAGCTGAACATTGGCTCACTCTTTCAGATGTCAGATGGCAGTTGGCTGTCTGCCGATTTTCAACAAACACTTTCTTAAATATCACTGATAATGCAACAAATTCTCACAACATGATTAGGTTCAGGCTGTCAACACCATCAGTTTCTAAAATCAATTGGCTTTGAATCACTGAGTGTATGGTTTAAATTATTTGGCCAAATTTAGCCTCCTCATGAAAACATCAAAACAAACCTAAGGTATCCGTCAGCAAAGCCAATTGTTACATGTTTCCATTTTAGAACTGTGTCTGTACTATTCCCCATCTGCTCATAGACCTCTTCTCTGTTTAACTCTAAACTGAAAACACTTCACCCCTTAAAGGAACCACACTCTGCCTTTCAATTCACAATTAGTCTACCCAGCTTTGTAACAATGCCCTCTGAACTCCTTCACTCAGTGCACTGACCAATAAAGACAAGCATTCCAAATGCCACCTTCTCCATCCTGTCTAGTTGCAACTCCTCTTTCAATGAACGCTGCCCTTGTTCTTAGCCCTTTGGAGGGATTGAAGGGTATGGGGAGAAAACAGGAACAGGCTTGAGTTGTCGATCTATAAAATATCTACCTTTCATCCGTGCCTCACCCACCTCTATCTTTCTTTTTCTTTCTTGTGCAAACACTGACTGGTTCTCTTCCCTGAAGGAGATTTTGAAACCAAATTGGTTCATATGATAATTCAGCAGTTTCTCCCTCAGGGTCTCTCCACAAATGACCAGATTAATTGCTCTCAATTTCACAACCTGTGTGTTCTTCTGGTTTCTCCGAATAAATTTGTTTTCTGTTTGAAAGATTGATATGCAATTATATGCGTCAAATGAAACCACATCCAGAATCAACAGCCACTCTGTTTATCCTAACCTAGTTATCTCAGGATTTTGAACACTGAAGGAGAAAGCATCATTCACACTGGGAAGAAACACGCATTGTCTGTATGTGGAAGAGTCTGTGAAGATTTATCTGAAATGTTCAAACACCAGCGTAGTCACACTGGGGAGAGACTGTGGAAATGTGGGGATTGTAGGAAGGGATTTCTGTACCCATCCCAGCTCAAAACTCATGAACGCAGTCACACCGGGGAGAAGCCGTTCGCCTGCTCTGATTGTGGGATGGGATTCACTCAGTCATCCAGCCTGCGGATCCACCAGCGAGTTCACACTGGGGAGAGACCATTCACTTGCTCAGTGTGTGGGAAAGCATTTGCTCAGTCAGCCAGCCTGCGGATACACCAGCGAGTTCACACTGGAGAGAGACCATTCACCTGCTCTGATTGTGGAAAGGGATTCACTCTGTCATCCCACCTGCGGGTACACCAGCGATTTCACGCTGGAGAGAGACCATTCACCTGCTCAGTGTGCGGGAAAGCATTCCCTCAATCATCCAGCCTGCAGATACACCGGCGAGTTCACACTGGAGAGAGACCATTCACTTGCTGTGACTGTGGGAAGGGATTCACTTCATCATCCAGTTTGCAGAAACACCAGCGAGTTCACACTGGGGAGAGACCATTCACTTGTTCTGAATGTGGAAAAGCATTCAATTGCTCATCTAAACTGCTGATACACCAGCGAATTCACACTGGGGAGAAACCGCTCACTTGGTCAGATTGTGGGAAAGCATTCACTCAGTCAACCATCCTGCTAATACATCAGCGAATTCACAGGAAAGAGAAACCATTCACCTGCTCCAATTATGGGAAGGGCTTTACTCAGTCATCCAACCTGCTGAAACACCAGCGAGTTCATAGTGGGGAGAAACATTCAGTCAGTCAAATTAACTGCTGATACACCAGCCTATTTACTTTATGGAGAGATTGTTCACTTGTCCTGTATGTGGAAAGAGATTTCAAACTGTTAACACACCAGTGAAATGACACTGGATAGATCCTGTTCACCTGTGTTCATGTAAAAGGTCTTGCTGTTTGCTAAGACACCAGCAAATTCAAAAAGAATCACAGGTGAAGGGTTTTGCTTTTACTCACACGCCAAAGAATGAGCCTTGGTCATTGGCCATTTGTATTGATGTTAGAAAACCCTGCTCTATTAAACGTGCTGATATGGTGGATTAAATATTGAGACAATTGTGTATCTGTAGGATACGTTTGAAAATAATCACCATGTTATTGTATATATCTACATATTTCTGCTGCATAAAGACTGTTTACATGCATATTGTTTGTGACATGATTTTGTGGCTCATCAGGCTTGGTTAAACAACCATGATTCTCCAGTAACTGTCAGTGTTGCATTTTGATACGATTGTTATCTATATCCAAGCCATGCTTACCAGCCCTATTTCTAATGATGTTTGTAAGCACCAAAGTGTTGTTTACCTATTTGGGATAAAAATAATGCAAATCAGCTTTTAAAACAAACTGAGTTGCACCAAGTCTTTATCTTATCTCTAAGGCACTTAGAATTAGACAATCGGTGCCCTTCACAAGAGCAGCTGGGAGAAGGTGCATCCAGAGTGAGGTATAGCTGAAATGCTGGAAATTTGGCAAGGGGATGGCATCCGGAGATAATGTCCAAAAGGTAAGAAGAAAAGAGAAGAATCAACAAGTGAGTCAGGAAGGCCTTGATATTACAGGCCAGTTCAGGTACAAGAGAGCTTGACATAGTTGAATGGCTTGATTTTAATGCTGCGAGTTTGATGAACAAGGCAGATGAGTTGATGATGCAAGTTAAAAATTGTTTATGATGATGACATTTCTGTTACTGAGACATGGTTGAAAGAGAGACAAGATTGTAATTCAACACCCCAGGATACAGGGTCTTCATGCGAGACAGCAAAGGAGGCAAAAGAAGAGGAGGTGTCGTAGTTGTGTTTAGATAATTTATAACAGCAATAAGGAGAGGTGCGATCTTAGAAAACTCCTTAAATAAACCCCTATGTGTATAACAAGTAGAGCTGGGAAGGAGGCAACTTTGACGGAAGTGTAAAAGTAATGGCGTCATGACAGTGGGGGATTTCAACTTCCCCAACATTGACTGTGGTTGTCACAGTGTGAAAAGTTTTGAGGAACTTTTAAAATAGATCCGGAACAGCTTTTGAAGCCAATAAGTAAAAGTCCAAACAAGGAAGGGAGAGGTTCTAGACTTAACTTTGGGTAAGAAAAGTGGACAAGTGGTTGAAGTATCAGTCGGGGGAGCATTTTGCAGACAGTTGTCACAAGCAAATTTGAGTTTTTTTTTTAAAAGAGTTATGGAAAAGGACCAGGATGGACCACAAATTAAAGTTCTAAATTGATTTTAATAAGACCAGATATGATTTGGCCAGAGTGCACAGGGAGCAGATACTTTCAGGTAAATGTGGAAGAGGAAACTTAAATGGGGAGATAAGGGGAGCTGTAAGGGTAACATGAATTGACACAGCCAGGTTAAATAAAGGAAAATGCTCAAATGTTTTACATGTACATGAATGAGTAAAGGGTAATAGGGGAAAGAGTAAGGCCCATTAAGGACCACAGCAGTAATTCATTTGTGGAATCAGATAACGTAGGCCTGGTTCTAAATGAATACGTGGTGTCAGTGTTCATGAGGCAGAGCCAGTGCAGGGAGAAGGTCTGTAATAGAATTTCAAGAAATTAGCATAGAGAGAGAGAGAGAGGAAGTTTTGAGTCATCTGAGGGACAGAATTAATTTACATTTGAGAGGCAGGGATTAATTGAGAACTCAGTGTGGCTGTGTGTAGTGTAGATCATGTATTATTAACTTGATTGAATTTTTTGAGGTGGTGATGAAGGTGATCGATGAGTGCAGAACAGTGGATGTTGTCTACATCAAATTTAGGGCTTTCGACAGGATCCCTCATTGTAGGCTCATCCAGACAACTAAGATGCATGGGATCCATGGTGACTTGGCTGCATGGATTCTGAATCAGCTTGTCCATTGAAAGCAGAGAATAGTTGTGGAAGGGTGTTTTTCAGGCTGGAGGTCCATGATTAGTGGTGTTCCACAGGGATCTGTACTGGGACCTCTGCTATATATATATATGAAATAAATGACTTGGTGAGTTAATAAATTTGCATATGATACAAAGATCAGTGGACTTTTGGATAGTGTACAAGGTTGTCAGAGGATGCAGTTGGATATAGATCAGTTGCAGATTTGGGTGGAGAAATGGCAGATGGTGTTTAATCTGTATAAGATTGAGTTGCTGCACTTTGGGAGATCAAATGTGAAGGAAAAGCATACAGTTAATGGCAGGACCCTGAACAGCATTGACGTACAGAGGGATCATGGGGTTCACGGATGTCAGCGTGCATTCTACAAAACAGAATTACGTGTGCAACCATCATCAAGTATCATGCCAGAACAGATCTCAGTCACACACAGGTGATACATGTTGTGGTCTCTCTCTCTTCTCTTTCTCATTCTCTCTCTCTCTATCTCTCTCTCGCTCTCTCTCTGAATGGATCTCAGTTTTTGAATCACATTACTAAATTCTGAGATTAAAGGCCAAGGTTCTAATTGGCTGCCCACCTGCCTATTTGTCACAAAGACATTCAAAGACTGAAGAGATTATCATATATTAGCCCCCACTCCAAAAGAAAAACTAAAAGTAACCTCCAGGAGATATTTCATAAAATAAAAACAAAACAGCAGAATTGATATAAGAGCTTTGTTCCAAACGACACCTTTTTTTAAAAGTGATTCTGTTCATATTACTGCTGTTATTCCTTGAAAACTCAGTAAGAGTCATAAAATCTTGCATGGTAAAAGTTCATTTGGCCCATCATGCACCTGCCAGCTGTTTGAAGGCTACATGTTTAGTTCCCTCACCTCACCCCACTATGTGTCCTGCAAATTTTCCACCTTGTGTTTTTAAGAAATTTCCTTTTGTAAGTTAATAGTGAACCTACATCAATCAGCTATGCAGCTCATTCTAGATTCCGCAACTCACTGAGTAGCTAATGAACCTCCCAGCACTCCTCTACTTACACTGCCAATTGCAATAATTCTGCGCCCTCTGGTTACTGAGGCCTGACAAGAGCAAAACAGTGCTGGAAAAGGAAGAAATATTTCTTGATTTGAGCGGCAGGAGAGGTGAGAGCATGAGCCAGGGGGCAGCTGGGAAGGTAAGGTTTCCTTATGAAAATTTGCATCGTGAGTCAGAGGCCTTGATTTGAGTGGCGGGAGAGGTGAGACTGCGAGCCAGGAAGTGAACTATTATATTCGGGCATTGGCTAAACCCAAAACACTACAAGTGTAGTGTCTCCCACCCATCCTCCTCCTCTAAACAAAAAATAAGACTGTGTGGAGGGTCAGAAAGGTAATCTTTTTTTCTTTATTCTTTTGGCAATCTAGAGTAGAGGGAGTGGAAGCTAGGGCAGTTGTATCATCCTCTTGTAGGATGTGGGAGGTAAGGGTCACTACTAGAGTCCCTTCTGACTTCACCTGCAAGAAGTGCACCCAACTCCAGCTCCTCACAGACCGCATTAGGGAACTGGAGCTGGAACTGGATGAACTCCAGATCATTTGGCAGGCTGAGGGGGTGATACATAGAAGTTATAGGGAGGTTGTCACACCAAAGTTACAGGACAATGGTAGCTGGGTGACTGTCAGGAAGGGGAAAGGGAATAGGCAGACAGTGCAGCAATCCCCTGTGACCGTTCCCCTCAATAGTAAGTATAACACTTTAGATACTGTTGGGGGTGATGACTTACTGGGGAAAGCTGTAGCGGCCAGGACTCTGACACTGAGCCTGAGCCTGTGACTCAGAAGGGAAGGGGGAGCGACAGTGATAGGAGATTCAATGGTGGGGGGAACAGACAGGAGATTCTGTGGTACTGAGCAAGACTGCCAGATGGTATGTTGCCTCCCGGGTGCCAGGGTCAGGGATGTCTCAGATCAAGTTGGCAGGATTCTTAAGGGGGAGGGAGAACAACCAGAAGCAGTGGTACACATCGGTACCATTGACACAGCTTGGAAACGAGATGAGGACCTGAAAAAGTGAATATAGGGAATTAAGATGGAATGTAAAAGCCACGATGAGCAGAGTAGTAATCTCAGGATTGCTACCAGTGCCACGGCTAGCGAGGCCAGGAATAGACAGCAAGTGCAGCTGAACATGTGGCTACAGAGCTGGTGTAGGAGGGAGGGCTTCAGCTATGTGGATAATTAGGATACCTTCTGGGGAAGGTGGGACCTGTACAAGAAGGACGGTGGAGTTGTGGACAGCGTGGAGGGCTGTTGTAGTTTGCAATGGGATATTGACAGGATGCAGAACTGTCAAAGAAGTAGCAGATGGAATTCAATCTAGAAAAGTGTGAAGTGATTCATTTTGGAAGGTCGAATTTGAATGCAGAACACAGGGTTAATGGCAGGATTCTTGGCAGTGTAGAGGAACAAAGGGATCTTGGGGTCCATGCCCATAGATCCCTCAAAGTTGCTACCCAAGTTGATAGGATTGTAAAGAAGGCGTATGCTGTGCCGTCTTTCATTGGCAGGGGAATTGGGAGCAGCACGGTGGCACAGTGGTTAGCACTGCTGCCTCACAGCGCCAGGGACCTGGGTTTGATTCCACCCTCGGACGACTGTCTGTGTGGAGTTTGCACATTCTCCTCATGTCTGCGTGGGTTTCCTCCAGGTGCTCCGATTTCCTCCCACAGTCCAAAGATGTGCAGGTTAGGTGGATTGGTTATGCTAAATTGCCCATAGTGTTCAGGGATGTGTAGATTAGGGGGATGGGTCTGGGTGGGATGCTCTGAGTTTCGGTGTGGACTTGTTGGGCTGAAGGGCCTGTTTCCATGCTGTAGGGATTCTATGAGTTTAAGATCCGC